ATCTAAATCAAACTTGTAAAAGAAAGATGGATCCTCAGTTTGTTTCTTTCTAAAATAATCTAGTACTTGTGTCATATCTGATCCTTTAACTTCTCTGTTCAGCTTTGTCCTATAGTTGCTGATATCTTTCTTTTTCATCGATAGAGCTGTAAGCCCCCCTCTTAGATACGATATAATAGAAACCATCTTTCTAGTCGGGATATTGTTATCGTTCAGAGTCTTGATAAGTCCTTTTTCCATTTCTGTTATATACTTGTGACAAGAAAATAGCTGATCCCTGTCTCCAGGGCATAGCTCATGATTATGCTCCAAATCAAGAGTTTTAAACTTTCATACAGCTCCTTCTTCTTTCACCATCATAACACAAGGACAATCTGATTTCTGCTGAACATTTGTTTTCCTTCTCCTTATCGATTTCTTTCCAACATCCTTATGGCAACTTGACTACCTCATTATTTCTCTTCTTACTTTAAGTTCTTGTCGTATGTGTTATGGTAACTTGAAATTCGGCTAGGAATGCATAGAAGTTGAAGAAATGGTGAGCATCATCCCTAGTCTTAAATTCCATCGATAGCTGTGGGGTGTACTTGCTGTTGATTAGTGCATTGTTGCTTTCAAATGCTGCAACCTGCTCATTTTTTATGAATTCTTCAATCTCTTCCTCCGTCAGTTCTTGGCTGCCATTTACATGCTCATTATCATTTGTTATAGCTGATGTAATATCTGAACTTGTTGGTTCTGTTGCTATGATCCTCAAGTCATTTTCTCCCATTGTTGGTTAATCATCTTGATTTTCATGCTACACCTGTAAATATATTAGCAGCAGTCTTAGTTTTTGAGTAATGTCATTTATAATACAAATAATTTTTTCCAGTGTGGACTGAAATAGTTGAAGAGATCATTTTTTTATGTACCTCATTAATGTCCTTGTTATTGAATATATCAGTTTGCCAATGGTATTGTTGAATTTCAGATCTATCATCATCAGCTATGTTTGTCGTTGCTTCATCATCATCAGCGATGATTGTCATTTCTCCATCCTGTTTTTGCAAAGATAAGTTTTACTTTGATGCTAGTATATATTTGTATTGCTTATAAATGTAATCAAATTAGCTCAGCTGTCTGTATCTACCTTATATGACATTCTTGACTCTGATATTGACCAGTCAGTTTGTGGTCCAAAGATTTCATTCAGATCTTCAAGTCTCATATTATGTTTTATTTGTTTGATAATGAGAATGGTTACCATTTATAATATAACACAACTAGTTTGACAAGCATATATAATATAGTTTTACCTCATTTCCAAGTATCATCTTTGTTAATGATCCTTGCATCTCTTCATGTTGCTGCACGATTTATAATGAAGCATTGAAATTAAAATCCTGTTATGCTGAAATTACATTGCACATATGTGTGTAATTTACATATGTCTGAATTATAATTTTTGTATACTGGTATTATAAATTTTACCTGCGTATTCTAGTCAGTCTGATTATCTTACTGAGAGTTCCTAATCTGTTCCATCATAAGTTTAGTGTAGCATCCCTGCATTGAAATATATTTTAGTCGAAAAACAACCTTCTTATGTTGATATTTTTTTATTCTAAGCAATAATTTTGCTCACCTTTTTATATCTGTAGGTATTTGAAAGGTCACTGGAACAATTTGTCCCTACAAATATTTGATAAGGAGCTTACTACACTTTCTTAATCGCTTCTTGTGAGTTCATTGATGTTGGATAATCATCACATCTGCTTGTTGTGACATACATATTATTCTGCTTCATAAAAAACCAAGCAGCTGAGTACTTATATAGCTTTTTATCAGATTGTTCTTTTTTTCATTGCATCATTGAATTGTGTTTCTTATCTCAAGTAGTTGATCAAACTTGACTGGTGCTTGTATTAGTTGCATAAGGGAAGCAATTGAAACGTGCAAGAAAATGAAGAAGCCATTAGTTCTCATTTATTTATTGTTTGTGTCAACTATTTTAAATTAGGAGTAATTTTACATCATTGTTGCTTTCTTTTTGAAGAATCATTTCCTCATAATTCTGAATATGATATTATGACTCTGACGTTTCCTGCTGCCTTGTTTTTTTTTCTAGATTCATGTTCTGTTATAACATCTAGATTTCATGTTTTGATAGTTAGAAGGTTTCTCATCATTACATATTCCATGCATCTAACACACACAAGGAGATTGGATTCAAATGATCGGTGTACTAACCTTGGTTGTTGAGGTTTGTGGTTCCTCTTCGATTTGATCTCTACCCCTTTGCCCTGCTTTGCATGTACAAGTTGCATGAGCCGGATCTTTAAATTGTATACATATACAGTATAATTGTATTAGCAGCAAGTACAACTTGGACTATGTCAAATGTGTAATTTCCTTATTTTTGTTCTATAATTTATTTACAATAGGAATATAGCAAATGCATAACAGATATATTTATAATTTTAGTTGAGGATTGCTGAGTGGTATGACTGCAGAATTACTTTTAGAAAATTAGCCCAGAAAATTCGATTTGTGTGTGTGTGATTTCAGCTAGTTACATGTGTGTGTGATCTCATGCTCTCTGTTTTTTTGCACTATGCTCTCTGTGTTTCTAGCCTTTTAGACCACATCACAATCCTCCAAGTGCTGGATCTGCTCCTTGTGCATAGTTGTATGTCTGCACGTGGCATAGAAAATTGTGATCTAGCAGCATGCTAGGGCCATTTGTATGTCTACAAATAATTGGTTGAGGAACTAGGGTGTGATCGAAATATGGCTGCAAGTGGAGGTTCATACATATAACTCTTATTATAGCCTTTTGTGCTTTTGGAAATTGTATGCTTTCATATGTGTAACTCTTTGGCACCTAACAGTGTGAGTTATATAAATTACACTTTTATGTTTTTCTTTTGTAGGTGCAACACCGTTTGTGGACTCTGCACAGTCAGGTGTTATATCCACTGTGAAGTATCCACTTGATCATGGTGTTGATCTAATGAAAGCAGATGTAAAAGAACACGTAGTTCTACACAATGTTGTATGTGCAGGTACGAGTCATCAAGGTTTTTGATCATGCTTGTGTGGTTGTGTGCCAGTTTGTCTTTATTTCTATGTACACCATAGGTGGTTTTGTAAGATGGTGTAAAAGTTAGTAGACTTTTGTCTTGGTTTCTTTTTATTTCTGTAGGCTTGTTTGTACCTTTAGACTACATCAGAACCCCAAATGCTGGACCTGCTTCTTGTGCACACTGAGCAACCAGGGCCACGCCCTGCTGTTATAACAAGCACAAGCAGCAGGCCATCTTTGGCATCCTGAATTTCTTTTCCATGGATCTACATTATCTTAGTCTTTGATTTGAGTTGCTATTGTTTTTTGTTGCTTTTTTATAAAGTAGATTCAAAAGATTAGAATACTAACCTTTGCTGATGAGGTATGGATCGGTCGTGTAGTGCTTCTTCTTAAAATTTTCTGTTCTTCTTTGCAATCTGATGTCTACCCCTTTCCCCTGCTCCGCGTGAGCAGAGGCTTTCCCAACACAGCAGATCTGTTTTTACTTTGCTTCTCTCCTAAGTCCTTATATTCCTATGTATTCATGGTTTTGGGCTTTTATTATGGGCTGCTGTTGTTAAATGGGTCAATTTGTAATTTTAGTTAATGGGCTTTACTGTTTTACTCTTGAGTTGCACAGAAATTATAACAGATTTTCTCTACGTGGGTCTTCTTTAAAAATCCATTGTTTTAAAGCAGCCAACAACTGTGTGCTAGCTTGTGCTAAAACACATGGTTTTTGCTCTATTGAAAATTATGTGTTCTACAGGCAGTCAACAACTATGTGCTAGCTTGTGCTAAAACATATGGTTTTTTCTCTATTTCAAATTGTGTTTTGCAGCTAATAAATAACTATATGTTAGCTTTTGTTAAAACACATAGTTGTGTAGTAGAAATGCTCTTTTTCTTTTCGTTTTTTCACCGGCCTTATCTTCTCGGACGCTTCGAGCGACCGCTTCTCGTCCCGCGCCGCCCATGGCCCGCTCGCCCACACCGATGGAGGTGCTCGCACGGCTGGCCCTGCGCCACCGGGGAGGGCCTCGCCCGCGCCGCCAGCCTGTGCAGCCGCCATCACGCCCCGCCCGGGAACTGCTCACCCGCGCCGGCCGCCTCTTAGGAGTAGCTCGTCGCCGCCACCGGAGCTCCTCGCCTGCGCAGATCACGCACCTGTGGAGCTCCTCTCCAGCGCCGGTGCCCGCCCACGGAGCTCATCGACCGCGCCACCTGCAGACCACTTGACCGTGCCGCACGCCGTGCAAAAGGGACGTCCCCGTCCCTTGGTTTCGATGGAATGCCCAAGCAAGTTGCGTCCGTATTCGGAGACCTCGCGGAGTCGCGGGCGATGCGGACTGGCGCGCACATGACCTGAGAGACGCAAGTCGCTCTTAACTCTTGTTTGTTGCACACAATGTCTACTTTCTTGGTATCCCGTATTTTTATATATTCATTTATACCAGCAATCCTGCACAGTTTGCTGCTTAGCATTCGGCAATGCACTTGCACTTACTGTTGGACAGCGTGCGCCCATAACAATTAAACATGTGTAAAGAATGGCCAAACTTATAAAAGAGGCAGGCACACACAGCACGATCCATTACGAAGATGCCACGGAAGTTGGCATGCACTGCACACATGTTTGTTTATTCAGACACGTTCCTCCTTTTGTACACGTGCTGCTAGCTCAGAGTAGCCACAATGGACAGTGGACACACACCAGTACACCACTACAACTGAACTCAAACTCAAAACCTGGCTGTCTGCTGTTGTCAAAAAAAAAAAAAAAAAAAAAAAAACTGGCTGTCTGCACGTACACGTACTCGACACTTCCTTCCCTTCGACAGACTTGGACACGACGACGCACACCCCAAAAGGACGCTACTCCCATGGCGACACCTCATACCACCGCGCCGCCGGCGATCCCCGAGGTCGTCGTCGTCTACCTAGCTTCTCTCTAACCATTGACGATGACGCCTCCTGCAAATAAACACACGCAGCGGTTAGTACCTAGCTAGCAGAGAGAGAACCAATGCAGCAAGTAGTAGAAAGCAGCAGGCGGCGGCGGCGGTTCGTACCGTTGACGTGGAGGAACTGTCCGGTGATGTACGACGAGTCCTGCTCGCTGGCGAGGAAGACGTAGCTGGGAGCGACCTCGGCGGGCTGGCCGGCGCGCTTCATTGGCACCTCGGACCCGAACTGCTCCACCTTCTCCTTGCCGAACGACGCCGGGATGAGCGGCGTCCAGATGGGCCCCGGCGCGACGCCGTTGACGCGGATGCCCTTGTCGGCCAGCTGCAGCGCCAGCGCGCGCGTGAACGACACGACGGCGCCCTTGGTGGACGTGTAGTCCAGCAGCGTCTTCTGGCCCTTGTACGCGACCACCGACGCCGTGTTGATGATGGATCCACCCTGCGCCATGTGCGCCACCGCGTGCTTCGTCGCCAGGAAGTAGGAGATGATGTTGGTGCGGAACACGCGGTCCAGGTCGGACTCGGTGACGTCCGTGATGGACCGCCGCTCGTGCTGCTCGGCGGCGTTGTTGACGAGCACGTCGATGCGCCTGCCGTGGGCGCTCGCCACCTCCTCCACCACCTTCCGGCAGCTGTCCTCGTACCCGAGGTCGGCGGGCAGCGCCATCGGCTCGCGCGCGCCCGTGCGGGAGGAGATGTCTCGCACCGCGCGGAGCGTCTCCTCCGCGTCCTTGTCCTCGGCGCCCTTCACGTACGTGAAGGCCACCGACGCGCCCTCCGCCGCGAACAGCAGGCACACCGCGCGCCCGATGCCCGAGTCGCCGCCGGTCACCAGCGCCACCTTGTCCTTGAGCTTGTTCGCCGCCTTGTAGTTCTGGATGATGGCCTCCGGGCGGGGGTCCATGGCGTGCTCCTTCCCGGGCTGGGACCCCTGCTGCTGCGGCGGGAACTGCTTCTGGGACGACGCCATGGCGCGAGCCGCCGGAGTGGGGTTACTGCCTGGAACGAGGCGTGTTCTGCTGCTGGGGCTGCACTGAGGTTGGGGAGGAGCAGGAGCGTCGGTCGGAGTGGTGATGATGGTGATCTAGCAACAGCAGGGAGGCGGAGGAGACGAAGCAGCAGTGCGCGCATGGCACGGTGAGGGAGACGCGGGAGGTGGAAGGGAGGCATATAAACAAGGGGGCGAGGCTGGCAGGCGTGGGCGCGTGGCGGCGGACGTGGCGGGAGGCTCGCATCTGCTGCGCCCACGCGTCCAGTCCGGCCGCTCGGTGAACCAGCACGCCCGCCGGCCGCCGCTTAACGTGCCTACACCCAGTACTGGACCTCTCTAGTAGCATAGCATCACTGTCTGAATCTGCTTATATAGGTAGCAAAACTTCCGGCGAATCAACGAGAGGCCGTGTTTAGTTACGAGCAGAATCGGCGCCGCCAAACTTTCGGGTTCCTGTAGCGCACTGTAGCGTTTTGTTTGTATTTGGTAATAATTGTCCAATCGTTGACTAATTAGGCTCAAAACGTTCGTCTCGCAAAGTACAACCAAACTGTGTAATTAATTTTTGATTTCGTCAACATTTAGTACTCCATGCATATACCGCAAGTTTGATGTGACGGGGAATCTTCTTTTTGCATAGTGCCAAAGTTTGGATTTGGTGGGAACTAAACATGGCCAGAGATAAAAAACAGCGCGCCAGCTCAGCCTTCCGCTGTTTGGACTTGGGAGAAGGAAATAGTAGGAACACTTCATAGAGCAACTATAGTCTATAGACACGTACTGTAAATTCGTGACACATGTTTATATGCATAATTCCAACATTTAAAATATTAGGAGAAAATATTTGGAAAGAAAAGCCACCATCTTCACATTCATTAGATACATGCGCGTAGACACGTATCTGAATTCACGGCGGATGCTCATAATTATCTCATAGGGCTGCTCACTAAATTTTCTCTCTATTTTTTGGTTTGAGGCCTTTAGATAAGAAACGCCTCATGCATCAATCTCCACAGCAATCACATAAACTCAAACATCTGGATAAGCACTTTTAAATAACTCAGACAAGAGAACTGTAGAGTATATTAAAAGAAAGAAATCCAGACTAGGCAATACAACAAAGCAACATTAGTTCTAAAGGACAAATAACGACAACAACAACGACGAAGATAACTACAGCAGCAGCAGCAACAACATCAAAAGGCAAGCAACCCAAAGCAACCACCAAGGTAAACAACAAGACAATGACAACTAAACTGATAACAACATAAGAAAGGTTCAACAATATTAGCACAGTCTAGCGAAGAGGCAAAGAGATCCTCTCCACACATCCCACAAAGCATGACCTTCTGTACGCATCGGTGACTCAAGGAGATCCATTAGCAACAATCTTTCATACACTCTGTATATTCTTGAATTGTACCTCCTCCCGTTACTCCTAACAATCACTAAGTCTTTGTCATAAAAACTTGTGTCGGCGTCTCATCATTAGTGTCATCGGTGGTGGATGTGTAGCAGGGCTTGTACAATCTTCGATCTTCAAGTGATGATCTCCATGTGGGGTCTCACCTTCGTCGATGGATCATTTCGTATCTTGGGCTTTTCTACTTTGATGGCAACAATAGGGCCCTCAACTGTCCTATATATATCTATCTCAGGGCCTATTTGATAGAGCTCCACTCCTTGATTCTTAGCTCTAGATCCTATGATTCTTTGATAGAGTGATTCTATTGATTATGTTAGGCAGAGTAGGGATCAGGTGAGAATTGATTATGGAGTGATTATGGTAGAGATTGAATAGGGAGAAGTGGGGAGCATGTTTTTTAGCTCCCAATGTAAATGGAGAAGTGATTATTCTTATCTATTCTCCACTAAAATCTGAGCAGAATTTTATTGTTTGGCGGATGATGAGTAATTCTCATGGAGAATCTTCTTCGAGGAGCCCTGCCAAATGACCTCCCAGCTTCCTTCTCGTTGGATATATTTTTCACCATAACAATATATATCTTCACAAGAGGCCCCATGCTCTATGGGCAAGTCCAATGAAGACACCATGTGGAGCAAAACAGGATTGGCTAGGGGCTCCAAAGCTCTCTCAACAATGGAAAGCACATTGTGCCAGACAGCGTGTGAACCAAACACGTCCTCAATATTTGAGGAGTATACCATGCGGGGTTCCAATTTACCTTTTGTGCTCTATTTTTTATTTTTGAGTACTAGAAATGATAAACTTACCTGTCATTTTTCAATGTGTATTTTGTCATACATATACACGGTTCTTATTCCTCTACATCCTAGCTCAGTGTGTCTTTAATGTGTTTTAAGATATTAGCATCATACATGTCTCCTAACTTAGTTTACATTTGATTTTATTAGCTACTGTAACTTATACCTGCATGTTAAGTTCAAAATTTTATGTTAATATACATTTTATTCAAAATACTCATTTGATTCATTAAAAGTGAGAATTCTAGGTCATAGATTGTATTTTTAATTACTGCAATGGAATAAATAGTCAGTTAATTTTGGACCATAAGCTAAAGATTGTTTGTGGAGTATAACTTTAAGTGAGATCTAGAAATGGCTAACAGTGTTACCCTCAAAGAGTCAAAAGGGCTATAGCCAAACAAAGATATGGCCAACTTCGGTTTACACCAAGAAGGTGATTGATTATTAGGCCATCTTCAGAAATCTAGGGCTCCAGGTTGAAATACATCTTGGGGTGGAGACACAAATTTTATAGAATTTAAATGACTAATTGTTGACGTCGAAAAATAAACGTGGCGCGTGCACCGGCCTCGCCGCCAACACGACAGCAAGCCGGGAGAAGCCGCGTGGAGCAGATCCCGAGATCTCCCAGGACTTTAGAAACACAGGACCGGATGGTCGTGATCTGAGGCGTGCCAGTCAATTTGACCCTGTGATTAACAAGGAGAAAAGATCGATCGGTAATTTAAGGTGGAACATGCCGGTGTTGCGCGCATGAGTTCAAATGTGCGGCTAAATAGCCGATGAGATAAGGATATCGACTAAAGAGTCGATATTCAGCATGTTTATGATGCAAAGCGAATAAAATAAACATTATCGATAATTATCAGATACTAATTATGCAGATCTTAACAGCCGATGATCTTGAAAACATGCTGAAGCATAAGGAATAGGTGTGAAAGCATTTATATTAATTGAGAATCATATTAGCTTTTGACCAAGACAAAAACAAGTACAAACATATAAATAGCCAGTATATCCTCAATAAGCAGGCTATCGGCTAGAATAGCCGATTCCAGTGATTTTATCGTACATCATGCAAACACTCATTCATTGGACAAATCTACAAACCGACTAAACTCAACCTATTGTACCACCAAGAGATCGAATCAGCTGATGCAGCATTGACGGTATGACCCTAGATGAGAGATCAGCAATCGGTAAATCTACTTATATCTCAATAAAGTCATGAAAGCATATCATACGCGTGGAAGCTCAAGCTATCGGATAGAAACAGAGTGAATGAACGATGTCAAGTTCTCTTAATAGATAAATTCACTAACCAACAACATTCAATCTATTGTGCTGTCAACAGGTCGAGTCAGTTGATGCGGCATTGACAGTAGGACCCTAGATCAAAGATTGATAATTAATGAATCTACTTCTAAACCGAGGAAGACCTCGAATACTCACTATGTTCGATCAAGATCAAGATACATTAGTCGATTAGAGCAGGATCTAACGTCAAAGGTTGAATATAAGCCTGAAGCAAAAGTAGACGATGGATCAATATGATAAAAACTAACGAATCTCAATCTAGATCGGATGAATTATGATATTATATTAAACAGTAAACCATCTAACACAATATCGATAACTTTGATCGGAATCGACACCTACATGAGATCAATCAGCTGATGCAGCCTTGCAGATAACAATACCAATCGATAACTAATCTATTCCACGACTCGTAAGAGGTCAATCAGCTGATGCAGCCTTACGAATAACGATATAGATCGATAATTAACTTGTACTACGACTTGTATGAGGTCAATCAGCTGATGCAGCCTTACAAGTAATAATACAAGTCATGACAAATACTCACAAACAAGCCGGAGGTCAATCAGCTGATGCAGCTCTGCTTGCTCGAAGAACTCACATTGATATACTCTACTCCTACTCCTAGGGTTAGCGTAAGCTGAAAAGTAAAGGTACGAGTTTTGTGATTGATCGAAGGATGATTATTACAATAGACGGGGTTCAATATTTATACCCGAGGCTTGACTACGAGTCCTGGTCAAACAAGACCAACTACAAAATCTGGAAAAGAAGACAAAACATCCTAAATTAAGATAACTTGGACTCCAATCTTTCTCTTCTATGAAATCCATCGTGCCTTCTTGCTTCTGATAACCGCCATCTTTTATTGGTAGAGCCCACTTCCGAGATGATAATGTCATGAAATCTAGATGATTCCAATAGCGTCTCAGTTAGCCGATCTTGCAGATATTTCGGCTTTTCTCAATAAATCTTGAAATCCAGGGTCCCACGTACTGACCCAAATTTTGGTGTCAACACATGCTCCCTAATTTTTTTCGAATTAGGGATCCACCCGATTTCCATTACCATGAATGGAAATACAACAGAGTTTAAGACTTGTTCAGGAAAGCAAATAGAACAAACAGTATAACCAACTGACACCAAAAGAAGGTGGAGCTCGAGCCCCAAGCTAGATTACATCCCAGACGCTGATAACAAAAGCTGCTACAAACACTACGGTCTGAATGGAGAACATCATCATTCAGGAAGTCACTGCTCCGGCTCCTGCTCTTCGTCTTCATCTCTGGCGAGGTCTAGGAGCATGTTGGGACGTATCATCACCTGTTGCTTCTTGGACAATAGCTGTAGAGCAATCTTGATCATGGCGTCGACGCCTCTGACCAGCATCTCCTTGTCTCTGTCTTTCTGAAGACCTGCCCATAATTTCATAA